ACACACACACACAAGTGTATTAAATGATGCATTAACCTTTTAGGAAGAAACCCAGCCACCTCTCTCTCTCTCGCTCACACACACACACACACACGCACGTACTCTATGGTCCTTCGCCTCACTGACAGCCCATGGAAAGCAATTAACAGAATCTGACGACCTTGAAAAGCTGAAAAAACCTCACAACTATGCACACGCATCAGCTGTTTCTATGCGTGTATGAGTTTTCTGGAGCCAATAATAGTATTCAATCTAATCAGAGTGCTGTAAATTAAAGCACCTCAACCACAAGCAGTGGCTATGTTTTGTAAAGGAATACTTGCATACTGCTTTACTTCACAGTATATACTGTATATATTTCCTGGTATTTTTTCAATAAAAAGTTTGTAAAATAGTATGCACTATGTTTTAAACTGAATGCTGTCTACATTGCTGTTTACAGGGCTGTTCACACCAAGGCCGAAAACTATAATGATTTAGGGCTGCACAATTAACCCAAATAAAACCAAAATCGTCATATGGCTTAGTGCGATTATGAAATCAAAAAGGCTGCAATTTAATAATAAATAAATAAATTTATGTGCTGCATGTTTCAGAGTGAAGCATAGCACTGTGTTATTTTCAATGCAAGCAGCTCATGATCCAGTGTTTTCACTATTTCGGAGCAGCTCAGTTTGAAATATTACAATAGTAATAGGTATTATTATTATTTTTACAATTACATTGATATATAAATCACACATCGTGCCAAATTGTGCAACCCTACAAACAAGCAAAGTAAACATGAAGCTTTTCTTTTTGAATCACAATTTTTATCAGGAAAAAAAAGGTGTTTTCACACTACAGCTATTACAATAATGACACAGAGGAACAATATCATTGGAGTCCTTTTCAGAAAGATTTTTTTCCAGCTTACAGCCAAACAGAACCCATCAACTTGCATTTTATGCAGAAATTATAAATAAGGAGTAAATAATAAGATTTTGTTCTCTAATCATGGTTAATAGTTAATAGTCACATTAGAGGTGCTTGGACAAGTTCAGTGCAACACAGGACAGAGCACTCAGAGCAGTATGCACTAGTTATATACTGCACATTTTAGCTAATGTAGTAAGTCTGTTAATTCTATGAACAGAAAATTTGCATATTGCGTAAGGTATGCAACAAAAAATTGTCAGAATAGTATAGTAGATTATGCAATTTCTGAATATACTCTTTCTAACTGCAGCTTGAAGGTAATTGCGGTAAATAATTAATTGAATTAAACATTTCTAAAATAGCATTTTAATATATTCAGAGTAATAAGCTTTCAGATGAGAAAAGCGTCCGCTGTGAGATTAGCAGCTTACACACATCAATCGAACGCATGCCCAGGTTTGTGTTTGCAACCTTAATCACTGATCAATACACCTGATCGGATTTCAGCTCCTGATTACAGGGCAGAGGGGTATGATTGATGATTCCGTACTCAAAAACACAAACAGGCAAGTAAACTTAAATATTCGGAGCACGCAGGGGCCCTTATCTGTGACACACTCATGTTTTATTCTCGCACAAACACAAACAACCTTAAAGGAATCAGATATCCTTGATTGCCCTCTACACGTGGACCTCCGAAGCTCGCTTATCAGAAAATCTTCCTCCCTGCCTCTCCGTGTGTTATGGTGTTTTTATTTAGTGCATGGTACAGAACAAAAAACATCAAGAACAAATCGAACAGCAAATATCACCTTAAGCATCAAAAATTAAATGATTTTGCCTTCAAGTGTGTGTGTGTGTGTGTGTACTGTACCTCTCGGAGTCCTCATTATCTTGCATGTTGAACAGCATGGAGGGGATGAGTTTATCCATGTGTTGAGGTTCCCAGATGATTGCCTGGAGTTCATCATTCACAGTCTTTCTGACGACACCCTGGAGACCCTTAATGCCTGCTACACGGATCCTACAGCAAAAACATGTTAAATACACTAAATAAATGAACACTAAATAATGCACTCATTAGTGTCCCAAAAGTATTTGGATACTTGAATCACATTTTAACTATAAGAATCTGACTCTCTAACCATTAGGCCACGACTTCCCACGACTTTACTAACACACTTTATCACTTTATCAAAACAATTGGCAGCTAGAAACAAATGATGCAAGAATTCTCTCAGAACTGACTTCAGAATCCACCTATAGGGCTTCAGGCTAGTGGATAAAAATGTTGTAATATATGTACTGGTTTTCTTTCCTTAATTAATTAATTAATTAGTTTATTAAATTAAAACAAATTAAATTGAAAACACTGCAAAAATGCAGTATAAAAGGTTATTTTTATAATAAAAAATATTATTTCGTTTAAAAATATGTTTTCTATTTTAACATTTAAAAATGTAATTTATTCATGTGACGGCAAAGCTGAATTTTCAGCATCCATTACTCCAGTCTTCAGTGTCACATGATCCTTCAGAAATCATTCTAATATGCTCAAGTAACATTTCGTATTATAATCAATGTTGTAAACAGCTGTGCTACTTAACATTTTTGTGGAAACCATGATTTCAGGATATTATATTATATTATCCCATGGTCTTTCTGAATACTCAATTCTGATTGGCTGGCAGGTATGCATTAAATCCGTTTAATGCACAGGTAGTTCCAAGTCAGTTTAATCACCGTCCTATATTAATACGCTGCTTTAATTGACACACACAAACAAACACACATACATACACATCACTCGCACATAAACACTGCGAGGGAGAGAGGTCGGAGATCGCAGATCGGGCTGCTGCTCGCACACAGAAACTTATTGCCAGTGCTGCCCTGCTACCTTTATTAATAAAATACCCTAGATACTAGATCGCTACAATATATTTCTTAGCAAGGAGGGGGTAAAATCGCTGTTTCTGACGTAACTAAACAGCTTCATTGTTTGTAGAGAGACGCACAGACACAGGTAACTCACACAACTGTCTTCTCTCTCTCGATAGATCGATCGATAACTCATTCAAATAAATGCTATAATTAATTCAAATAAATGTGGTCTTACCGCACTATTTCATCTCTGTATCTGATTTGAAGTTGGCAGAATGCTAGATCTAACGAACCGCAACTGACAAAAATAACCACCATTTTTACCCTTCCGGTTAAATACTGCGCTGCAAACATCATAAACAGCTTTTAAGTTGTCAATGCTGGAAAATTACCATTTTATTTCATTTCATTTTATTGACAGCCCAACATGAAATAACCATAAACACATACTAATGCACACACCTGTTGCGAGTTTCGGGGTCCTCGTGTGTGGAGTGACACATGGCACTGAACTGAGAGACGAAAAAGTCATATCTGCGATGGTAAGATGGCGTATCCTCCTCAATGTTTGCAAACTTCACAAACTACAAGGAATCAAACAAACACCCATAATGATTATGTCAGAAAAACACACAACCACACCCAATCTTTTCTCACACAATAACAGATTCAAAAACACTCCCATGCAAAGGTGTGACGGCGATATTCCCCTTCCACGATGTGCAGAGGAAGTTACTGATATCAGCCAGAGAAGTGTGACATCTCATTAGAGCACAAGTGTGTGTTCAAGTGCATACAGCATGTGTGAATCATTGCCTGTTTGAATTAAACAATTTAAAGGGTACATATTTGACATTTGTAGCATTTTATTTCACTTTAAGTCCTCTAAAAACAGCCATAACTCAGTTTCACATGACCATTCCCACCCGTTGTCTGACCTTTAGAATTAAACATGCATTAAACAACCTCTGTTTCCACTGGCTTCTGTTTGGCAAGTTTCTAAATATTAAACGATGTGGGCAATCCTATGTTAAATAAACTCATGCAGTCAATACCATGATGATTTCTGAGTGACCTGCTTTTGCAAGGATATTAAATAATATCTCGTGTTAGGTTACGCAGCTTGACTGAGAAATGAAGTTTCAGCCTTTAATAGATGATGCAATGTTTAAAATACCTAAACAATTCAATGCAGAAGAATCTCTGCAACGCTTCAGAACCACTGGGAACAGATTTGAGAAACCCAGATGAGGAATAATACAGCAGAAAATTGAGTGAGCCGAGAAAGAGAGACTGTGCAAGAGAGAATAAAACGAACAAAAAAGCACCATAACATAAATGACAGTCGAAGCCATTTCTCATCTTTCACCTGAATCTCTCGCATCTGCTGCAGATATTTTGGAGTGTATTTACTGGTTTGTTCAGTCACACACTCAAACTTACGGAGTTGGTTCCCAGCACTTGTAAATCGGGTTCTCTGGATTCCAGCAGTTTGGCTACCATGTGTAAGAAGCTCTCCACAAACGGCTTGATACTCTGGGAATGACATGCCATCAACAACTGATCCAACGCCTCCATTGCTATTACCACGTACCTGTTCACACACACACACACACACACACACACACACACACACACACCAGGGTCCATAATGAACACTTGAAGATACTGAACATATTCGCACTCCAAATACTAGTAAAACTAAACGTGTAAGAAGATAAAATAACAATAAAATAGTAAGAAATAAAATAATAAAATAGTAAGAAATAAAATAAATACGGAGGAATAAATATGCAGGAAAAAAATTGTAGGCTAAATCGTGTGCACGACTTACTATTTTGTTCCCTCGATTTATAAATTGTTCACACAATTTACTATTTCGTTCCCTTGTTTTGCTAAATCGTGTACACGATTTAAAAAAAAATCGAGAGAACAAATTAGTAAATTGTGTGGACGATTTAGCAAATCGAGGGAACGAAATAGTAATCGTGTGCACGTTTTAGTACATCGAGGGAATTAATTAATAAATCGTGCGCACAATTCATTTATTTTTTCTAGCATTTCATGTGCAGGGCTCCGTATATAAATAATAAAAAAACTGTAAGAATAACGAATTTGACAAATTTGACTTCCATGGACAAATTATCATCATACATAATATGCCTGTTTTTTTTTAATCCAGAACACATATGCAGAATATTTATCAAAGTAAGATACCAAAAATGAAATATGAGGAACAAAAGCTAAATATGTCTTTATTAACACAATAACATCTGTTGTCATATGGACAAAAATATAATTATCATAGAAAAGGAAAAAAAAAATAATTCTATGACCAGTAAAAATTATTTATTCAAAATTTCACTCATTAATGGCAGGTGTGTCTGCATTGGCACTATAGCGGTGTGTGAAAAAACTGTGTGCTTGTATTCATGCGTGTCTTACCCGTAGCGATGTCGTACCACATCTCTGCTGAGGCGTTCGGCCAGGTACGCTCCGATACGGTCCAGCTTCTCTGGTGCGGACACTGCATAAAAAGTCAACTTTTCCATATCGGATTTCACCAGTCCATCCTGAGGGGGAAAAAAAAAAGAACAATAAATTGTAAAATACAACTAGAATTTGACTGGAACTACAAGAAAACGTGTCTCTTTACCAGAAATAGCCACTTTCTGCAATAATCTTGGACTATTAAGTGTCTGTGCTGTAGATGCATTATTGTGTTGTATTCATTTATTGTTATTCTTTATTTTCCCAGTTAAAGAAAATCTCATACTGTTGTTAAAAATGGTTCAAATAATCCTTAAATTCTGAGCAGGTTTTATAAATAATCTTATTAGCATCTTATTCTGGACTACTTTAGTTTGTAATTGTATCTAGAGATGCCTTAGTAAAAATATCTGAAATATAAATATTGTTTGAAAGTATTAAAAACTTTGATATTTACAGTGAATATTTTTCTACTGAATATTTCTACTGAACTTAAAAAAAGTGTTATTCAACAGAAAGCATCATAAGAAGAAAATCCCTTTTACCGAGAATCCCTTAAGAGAAATAAACTCCTGAAGCTCTCAAAGTGCTAATTATCTTAACACGAGTTGAATGTATGGTACATAACATGACTGTAGGGAATCTGTCTCTGTGTGTGTGTGTGTGTCGGTGGAAACAGTCACACCAGCCCATAAGAATATTACTCACACTTCACCTTCAGAGAAAACAATCATGTGTGTGTGTGTGTGTGTGTGTGTGTGTGTGTGTGTGTGTGTGTCACTCTAATCAACAGAGATAAATATTAATGTGATGAATATGGAGTAACTGCAAGGTTAAAAGCCTTCCCAGTGTGTGTGTTGTTGTATATCTGCTGAACTGGTCAAAGGTCAAAATTAAAGCATTAATAATATACATTCATAATAACAGTGGCAAGATATTTTTCTCCAACAGTATGAATAATGAACAGCTGCTAGTCAACGGTGCTTTAAATTTAGATTGATAGTCCAAGCAGCTTCTTTCTTATTATGCGTGGCATTTACTTAAGCTGTTCTCTGAGGACAGGAAGAGCCGATAAGAATATATTTTGATCACAGCACTTGAACTTGAATGTGTCTGAATCCCAGTGCATGAACTCTGATATGAAGATGGTATTTAAAGAAGCATTTATTTAAAGCATCTGTCCAAAAACTTATGTAAATGAGCAAGACTTGTTGACTGCAGAATTCTACTGTCTCCTTGAATGAATCTATAAACAGTTTAAAATGCAGATGATACAGTGAGATATTGATCAGGCCAAAATTTCAGCCATTTTAAGATTAACAGCTAATATCCGTTGCCTTGTCAATGAACAAGAGTCTATCAGTTACAAAATTTATGGATAGCTTTGTCAAACGGAGATTTAAAATACATTCCAAATTTGTTTAATATTTGAGTGAATTTTATGATTTCATAGTATATTTATCATTTTAATTTTAGTAACTTTAATTCTTTAATTTCAAACAAATACGTATTTAATAATTATTACATCATAATATATAACACACACACTCTTAAATTTATTTTTAGTTATTTATTTAAATTTTGTGTATGTCTCATTTTTATTATTATAAAACCAAGATATAATGATATAATGCATATATACAAGTTGGCAACCTGGAATATTCCATTCCATTATTGTAATATTCCAGAAAATCCTTGCATTTCCATCTATTCCAGGGATATGTTACCTTGGGGTCCTCTGGGAAAATGTTGTCCACTAGACGCTTGTAGCGTGGCCGCAGAGGACCACAACATCCACACACACCTGTGAAAAAAGAGAAGTGTTACACATACAAAAGATGCACAACCTTGGCATTTAAAGGTGGGGTAAGCGATTTCTGGTAGCCAATGTTGACATTTGAAATCACCAAAACAAACACACCCCTACCCCAAAAGGGTCTCGCCTCTATTTTGATAGCTCCGCCCCACACATACGTACGCAACCCAGGCAATGATTAGTTCTGTGAAACGAAGCAAAACCAATGTTACACTGGGTCTACACTGGACGCGAGTGGCGCGGCGCGACAAAATACTATGGAACTCATAATCATTGATGCTGTCTCCACCATAGATATATATATATACATATCTATGGTCTCCACTGGATGCGGCGCGGCACTACACAACACAACACAACAAATCCCCAACAGAAAACTGCTGCTGGGTTCTATTCACGACGTATTTAAACAAACTTCAAATGATTTTCAACGGTCGCTTTGTCACGTCCAGTGTACTAGACAGACTTTAGCTGTTGTAGCGCAGACACAGTGTTACTCACCTATCGAGAAGAAACAAAGCAACCTCGGCGCCCAATCACAGGCCTTCCGCTCCTTGAGTTCTCTCCAGTGCTAGAAAGCTGATCCGATATTTACACGAGTCCTACTTCTTGCCTTAAGCCTTCTTTTGTACCGCAGACGGTTTCCTCTTTAGTTTTTTATCCACCATCTCTATCTTTCTGTCGCTCGGCTCGGCTAATGTCCGTCTCGTGCACTGAACGCTCTCTCCTCCACATCACGAGTAGACACGCCCCTTACTGCTGATTGGCTACAAGTTTGTTTTGCTATTCGGCCCGAATCAGTTTTCTAAAGCATTTTTTGAAAAATCGCTTACCCCACCTTTAAATCAACTTTGTTTTCTGTTCAGTCTGCATGAACACAAATTATTGTAATGAGTTTGAATTTGTGCATTTAATGAAATAAACAGATCTAAGGTACCATCCTTACATCTGTCTGCACGGTTTTGTAACTGTAATCTTAACATGCACTAGACTGATGTCTTTGACTGTTGTGGGTTTTTAAAGCATATCATATGCCATATCATCACATTTTGAGACAGTTTAAGTTAAAAGAAGTTCAGCTTTTACAAATGTGCCTCATGACACCTGCTTTCTGCTGCCTTTCATTGCGCTGTGTCTAACGGTTTCTGAACGCAAGAATGCCCTAATGAGATAGGACAGAAATGCAAAATAAGCAGTCTGACACATACATTCAGACTTCACCCACTCAAGCCAATAAGAACTTCAGAATCTACATATGCCTGATATTAAAATTAGCTGTCAGGATGTAATGTGTAAGTGCACTGATTAAAGGCACAATGCAAACTACAGTGTGTGTGTGCGATGCCACACAGTTTGAAGGGCTGATTAATTATTAAAAAAGGTCAAAGAAGAAATCTGAGAGCAGCAAAGCAGCCAGTACACACACAAACACATGCACACTCCTCATTTTCAACAAACACGCTGCTCTGACAGCCCTTCACCAGCTAGAGCTGAAATTGTTCATTCATCCATTCCATAATGGATAATAAATCTGGACTGCATGTGTATATGCCATCAGAGTGTGTGTGTGTTTGTGTGCGTGTGCAGGGACTGTAAAGTGAGATGTGGAAAAGGAGCCGCCATTATCAGCTAAAACACCTGATCCAACTTCAGAAAGACGGAAAAAGCGTGAGATGCTGCGAGGGAGAGAAATAAATAGAATAGCAAAAGAGAGCGGGTGAGCGAGCCGAGCTCTACTGCAAAGTGACAAATGCATCAACAATCTTACTATAACAAAGGGTGTGCAACAGGTTTGTATTAACCATCACGATCGCACACAAACATACACACATAGATACCAAGTCTGCTAAGGAAAGATCTCCTCTCCCAGGTGTGTCTGTATCTGAAGGTCCCGTCAGCTTCTGAGCGCGGCACCTGCCTGTACCTCCTCAACATGACCTCTAACCTTTGTTAATTCCTTTAGACCCCCAGAACCTCAAACCTGGCCCGAACAGTGACCTTTCTGCCTAATGCTTCAACCCTGGTCTGAGACTCAGACACACCTGAACCGAATACCTGCACGAGGACTCGCCCTATACTGGGACTGGCAGGACAGCCAACCAATTACAGATGAATGGAAGTTACGTCTGTGAGGTCACAGAGAGAAACGAGACCAGGACTCTGAAAGAATAATCTTAAAAAATTATAAAAATAATAACGCTTGATGCAATTTTTGTAAATTTATATATTTGTAGAGAAAGGTCTAAGCTAATGAACCATGTAAGGGAACAGGTGTTTTTGAAAATGTATTTTTTTCTAAAAATGTACATTTATTCACTTCATAACTTAATTTGTGTCAACTCCATCAGATGCATTAAAAAGCATATTTTAATTTGATCCACCCAACAACAGTGTGAAGTCTTCAATTATGTAATAATGGTGTTCAGTAAAGGAGCTGAAGTGATTAAAAATATTCTCTACATTTTCTCCCATTTTCACACTAAGTTAAGTTAAGTTGTCCTTTACAGAAAATGTGTCTTGGACTCAAAAGCTGCAGTAGTACACAACAACCACACACAATAACAACAGCAACATATTATGAACAATCCAATTCCTACATTTCGTAATTTTCCACCATCCTGATGTTGCCAAGTGTAAACGCGCCGTGTCCTGATTGACTGATGATCCGATCTGCTTGATCAGATCACGGTGATCGCATGTTAGTTCCAAGTGTAAACGCAGCCAAAGAAGATGTGCTAGCTGAGAGGAGTTTCGTCAAAGCTGACTAAAAGTGATCGAGGATGGATAATTTCGACAAACTTGATGAACCTGTGATATCTTCTTCAGTTCGAAAAAGGAAAATAAAAGCTGAAAGGTTTTCACGGATCCTTGCAAAACAGCGCGTTACAGTGAGGGAAAAGCTGCGTGTATTGCTTGTAATCACATCCATACAGTTTATGATCACAACAACAGGATTACAAAGATTAAACAAGTGTTTTTTTAAACTCTAAAACATGAAGTTATCTGCTTTTGCCAAAAAAAAAAAAACGACTGTTGGAGTTATCTGCTTTTGCTATAAAACAAACTTTTAATATGTAAAAAAAAAACATACTTTCAATTAACTTTAATTTAGTAACTTACCTGTATTTGTTTAAGTTATTATTATTTAATCAAAACAACCCAACTGCAGTTTGATTGATTACTTGGAATCCGCAATAAAAAAAAATTGATTTCTGAAAAAAAATACAAATGGAGTTATCGGTTTTTGCAAATGAACTCTTCAATGTAGCCTATGTTCTTTGAGAATATAGATATATTATCATGTAGTTCCGTTCATGTTTTACTTTTTTTTTTAAATAAAAAAATACTCATTATTTAAAAATTAACAGGAACCTTATATTGGATTATATTATATTAAAAACAATATTAGAATATTAAGTTTTTTAAAATGTGCAATAATAGATGTAAATTAAATATATTATAAATACAGGTGCATCTCAATAAATTAGAATGTCGTGGAAAAGTTCATTTATTTCAGTAATTCAACTCAAATTGTGAAACTCGTGTATTAAATAAATTCAATGCACACAGACTGAAGTAGTTTAAGTCTTTGGTTCCTTTAATTGTGATGATTTTGGCTCACATTTAACAAAAACCCACCAATTCACTATCTCAACAAATTAGAATATGGTGACATGCCAATCAGCTAATCAACTCAAAACACCTGCAAAGGTTTCCTGAGCCTTCAAAATGGTCTCTCAGTTTGGTTCACTAGGCTACACAATCATGGGGAAGACTGCTGATCTGACAGTTGTCCAGAAGACAATCATTGACACCCTTCACAAGGAGGGTAAGCCACAAACATTCATTGCCAAAGAAGCTGGCTGTTTACAGAGTGCTGTATCCAAGCATGTTAACAGAAAGTTGAGTTGGAAGGAAAAAGTGTGGAAGAAAAAGATGCACAACCAACCGAGAGAACCGCAGCCTTATGAGGCTTATAGCAAAAGAGATTCAAGAATTTGAGTGAACTTCAAAAGGAATGGACTGAGGCTGGGGTCAAGGCATCAAGAGCCACCACACACAGACGTGTCAAGGAATTTGGCTACAGTTGTCGTATTCCTCTTGTTAAGCCACTCCTGAACCACAGACAACGTCAGAGGCGTCTTACCTGGGCTAAGGAGAAGAAGAACTGAACTGTTGCCCAGTGGTCCAAAGTCCTCTTTTCAGATGAGAGCAAGTTTTGTATTTCATTTGGAAACCAAGGCCCTAGAGTCTGGAGGAAGGGTGGAGAAGCTCATAGCCCAAGTTGCTTGAAGTCCAGTGCTAAGTTTCCACAGTCTGTGATGATTTGGGGTGCAAAGTCATCTGCTGGTGTTGGTCCATTGTGTTTTTTGAAAACCAAAGTCACTGCACCCGTTTACCAAGAAATTTTGGAGCACTTCATGCTTCCTTCTGCTGACCAGCTTTTTGAAGATGCTGATTTAATTTTCCAGCAGGATTTGGCACCTGCCCACACTGCCAAAAGCACCAAAAGTTGGTTAAATGACCATGGTGTTGGTGTGCTTGACTGGCCAGAAAACTCACCAGACCTGAACCCCATAGAAAATCTATGGGGTATTGTCAAGAGGAAAATGAAAAACAAGAGACCAAAAAATGCAGATGAGCTGAAGGCCACTGTCAAAGAAACCTGGGCTTCCATACCACCTCAGCAGTGCCACAAACTGATCACCTCCATGCCACGCCGAATTGAGGCAGTAATTAAAGCAAAAGGAGCCCCTACCAAGTATTGAGTACATGTACAGTAAATGAACATACTTTCCAGAAGGCAAACAATTCACTAAAAATGTTTTTTAATTGGCCTTATGAAGTATTCTAATTGGTTGAGATAGTGAATTGGTGGGTTTTTGTTAAATGTGAGCCAAAATCATCACAATTAAAAGTACCAAAGACTTAAACTACTTCAGTCGGTGTGCACTGAATTTATTTAATACACAAGTTTCACAATTTGA